TTTTACAAGACAGTCAGTTCTAATCTCAGAACTGCGATTTAATTCACACATTGTCTACTGATGTCTAAATCCGCCTTTCCAATACGTTCTTCATAAACCCGCCGCGTATTAACACCTCTGCTTCATTTACGACAAACGACACGCGTGACGTCATCCACGTCAATCCCTTTGAACAGTATTTATTCAGCTTCACACGTGTCAGTTTCATTAAAATCAAGCAAGCCTCAAGGACACATGTCACATTTCATCGTGCTAGTCTGCTTTAACGTACATTTATTTATCAGAATAATCTCCTACGTGGCAAGAAAAGCCTTGATTGGAAACGTTTTCTTCCATTCTCTGAGATGAATATTTAAATATTCCATCAATATGTTTTCTATAGCTTGCCTACTTCGAATCTTAATGAATATTCAGCTAGCGTGTTCAAACGAACCGTAGTCAATGAGATGTGATTAAAATTAAACTTTGCTTTCGAGCACTTGTGGACTGGAAAAGTTTTTCGACGGCAATTTGTGGCGAAAATCGAAGCAATAAGAAACTTTGATTGAAAGTTAAGCACACAAGTTGGCATTAAATTGTGCTTGGAAAACTGTAATTGTCTTGAATTTGATTATGGACTATTTTATCGTTGGCTTAGTAGGAACAAAGAGGTCTATGAAGCTTGTATTTATTTTAAAGAAATTGATGTAAACCTCCTTACGGTTGGATGAGGATTTGAATACGAAGCTAAATTTTAATATATTATTATAAATTTGGATTAATAACAGGAGTAATATGTATATTCCCAATATAATGAAGGTCAATTAAATTATAAGTGTTGTAATAAATCAATCGAAACAGTTTTACAAGGGCAACATTTTAAATATTAAATCACGGCAATACGACGCAACTGACAGACACAGTACTATCGACATTCCAATAATAGAACGCTATCGAATATTTATGTAGAATGACTAGTATCGACTTTTAAATATAGCTTAAGACGTTATTCTTCGCAATAGTTTGTATCATTCTTATAGTAAAATTTTGTCACATAAATTTTGAAAGATATAAATATAGGTTGGTTAAAATTTATACGTTACACACATTATAGATAAAGAATCTAAAATTCTAAAATGTACGTTCAAGGATACAATACGTGTAAGAAGACCTAAAAGTAAAATGTAAGGTAAAAATTTCCAGATAGAATGAAAACACGATGAAGCCGTAAGCATAAATATGAAATATTCTAAAGGAGGTACGGTGAAAATTTTTAGAAAAATCTACTGAAAGCGTAGAAAAAGGTCTACGATGAAAATAAATTCGAAAACAACAATATTGGTCCGAAGTCAGGCAGAAAATTTTATAAAGAGGTTGAACAAATCTAGTTTAATAAGATAGTTATAGGATAGACGTGAAAAGTAGTAAAGCGATACGATTCATCGACTAGATACTCTTATATCGATAGTGATTGACAATTTCATCGATATCGAATGAATAAAAAGGTGACATTAATAAACGACGTATTTGATGATATTTCTAACCATTTTATTTTTAAAATCTAATTATCATATCAAATCGATATAAGATTTTAATCAGACGTGGAAGCTAAGACGCTAAGTGATGAACATTAAACCAAAAAGGATTGAAAATAAAGTCCATATTAATATTATACTCTAAATACAATTTCTAAATATAGCGATAATATCGTTTAACACAAGCCATCTAAAAATAAATATCAACGCTCTTATAATTATGGCAGTACTTATCTATATGAATAATTTCGTATTGGTGCCTTCTAAAATAACGGCTTTACTTAATTGCACCGTATTTTTATAATGGTGTTCTTAGCTTTGATGTTCTAAAACAACTTTGATGTTTTTAAAATTTTATTTCATGGCATAAATTTTCATTTTGTCATTACAAAATTTATGTCATGAAATAAAAATACATTAATATGATTTTACGAAATAATTATTTTGCGAATTTATTATTTCGTTTTTATTTCATTATAATAATACGCTTTGAAAGCGATGTTTATTTTTATTATTTGATATTATGCCGTGTAATAGTTATCGCTCCGAGCATTAGTTTTACCGCAGTTTTGTAAGCTTAGCATGGCCAACTGCTTATATATTTTGAATTTTCTTCTAAAGCTTGATCTAATGCTAAATAAATCAGAGTTTATTGTACTATTTACATAATTCTCTCTAGAGACTATTACCCAAGAAATTCAAACGGTACTCAAGTATAAGATGATCTTGTACGTACTTTTGTCGCAGCAATATATTTTGTAGAGCGACAGGGCCAGCGATATTGAGCTCTAAATTAAAGACTATAGAGCTTCTGAATGCCGTTTTCGTATTTAGATATCGTTGTTATCTTACGACTTGGCTGTGATTAAAATGGTACAGTGTAATGTTAATCTTTTTTAAAACCATGGTTTTATTAGCAAAGATTTTTAAAAAGTAGTTTTGTTATGTCGTAGTATTAAAGACATTCTTAAAGAAAAATAATCAAAAAGTGAAATTAAGACTTTTTGTAGAACACACAGAGAAGATAATGTTTGCCAAGTGGCATACCTACAAGTTAAAATTCAGATTAAAAAGTTCACATTGTAGTTTTCAAATTAATCAAATTTTAATCAACCAGGTTCACAGTTACTCCATTTCAGTTCAATGCTCACATTGACATCCACCACCCATAACTCGTTATTATTTAACACCATTCATTTTCCATTCTGTCCAATAAATTCTGACAATAATAGTTATTGCCAAACATTAATTGAAATGACGGAGAATATAAATTCAACTATTATTTGGGTAACCAGAAAATTTCATGGAATTAATTTCAAATTTTATGTACTTGGAATTAATTTCAAACTTAATAATAGATAGTACGATGTCACATAATACGATCACCGAACTGATAAGGCAGTCCTAAACGTTATTTAAATCGTTTTTATAAAGGGAGAAATGATTAAATAAGAAGCAAGTATTTTTGATGTCCCCTTATTTACCAAACAAAAAATCAGAAATATAAATTTAAATTGTATGTAATATAGGACAATCCCACATAAATTAAAATCTGCCAATAATAATAACTACATCACGAAATTTATTTTATAATTTAACGAATCATTTGCATACATAATAATATTTACCATCGTTAAACAACTGCAATTGCCAACCAAGTTTATATCTCCTGTTGACATGATTCGATAAAATCGAGTTCAATTTTGTTTGGAAACGCAACCATTTTCCAAATTAGCGATTCATCGGTAATCGATAAATTTATATCGATAACTCAGTAATTGTAATGGCACCACCGATTTAATCACAGCCGAGTGGTTTTGACTGGAATGAAATGAGTAGAAATAAACTTGTCTAAATTTGAACCATGTGAATGTTGAAATTGAGTAGGAATTGGAATAATTAAAACATTTCCATATTTTTCACACCTGACGACGTTGTATTTGTTCACCAAAAAATTGATTCTGTTGATGACGTCATGGCTAAAATTTAGACAAAATTATCCTCTTTAATAATGCTGTACGAATTTATGTGACTGCAAGTATTTACACAAAAAACCTAAACATTATTATTTTCTCTAGCGGCAACACACTAAAACACACAAAAAATAATCTACCACTAATAAAATATGTACAAAAACAAATTGGCTTCCATAAATTATTATAACGATTGTAATTTGCAACATTATACTCCAATAATTAAAACTCTCGCAAATTCCAATCGCTAACGAGTCTATCGCCAATTTCCCTAACATCGTTAATCGCTACGGGCTCTAAATAAACCCGTGTGTACAAAATCTTGGCTCGCATTATTAAAATGTTCGTCGTCACGTTTCAAATTAACTGTGTTAATTATGACGGCGCGTCTGGCGGTTTCATTATAACGAAAAATCCTGACATGATGATGTTATTAGAGATACGCACATATTGGTATAGAATGTCTTTGTATTAAATATCGGATTTTAATTTTATAACAATTACTTCTTTTCTTGAGAATTACTGCAGGTATTCATTTTGTCAAAATAAAGGTATTAAAATTTTTATTTTCATTTATACAAAGGAAAGGCAAATTGCACTGTCGTTGCAAATGAATATAAACACAATATCTATTTAAATCGTAAATCATTATTACAAACCCCAATTATCTTTATCCTTGGCAAACAAAGAAAGCATTGGTTTTTATCTACAAATAAAACGTTTAAAATAGATACGCTGCGGATAAAAATACGCATTCTTATATAATAATACGCAAAATTCTCTGCCAATACGTGCGTATTATTGTATCATTTTAATAATCTTGCAAATACTATAATACGCCTAAAATGATGCATAGAATTCGTTTTTTATTTTTGATAAATCTATTCATATATCTATTTATACCACAGCCGGTAAGGCTACAATTATTAATTATTATCAGGTTATTAGAGAAAGAGAAGGATCTAGAAGGAAGAAAGAGTACATTCGACGTCTAAACCTGTACATTTGAGCACATAGATCATAGAGCTAGTTCAGATGCAGCTGATTGTACGAACATAACCTTTTTTTGTAATTAAGTAAGGAAAATTTTGTTACTGTTTGAATAATTTCATTAATTGCTCTTGAAAGCCAAAACATTCTAATCATATTAATGAAATTATTCGAAAGTAAAATACAAAGTAATGAGGTCACATGACTGTCGATTATTCTATAACTTCTGAGAGAAGACTGGAAAATTAGATCCTTGATAACTGAGAAATTGAAAATTGTATATTTCGTTGTGTGTATTAAACCCGCTGACCATCAGCTGCTGACACGCCCATCCGAACACGCTTAACGGTACATATTTAGACTATTCTTAAAATAAATCCAACATAACCCACAATGGCACTTATGACATCATTGACATTACATTCATTTATATTAGAAGTATAACTCAAGCAAAAACGTCGTAAGCGACAATGTAGGTTTTGCTGATTCTAATAAGCACTTAATATTACCAGATTTTGGACATTTAGAAACCTGGGATGACGTCATAGGCTTCTAAGCTGGACATGGTGAGGTAGACCAGCCAGAGGGAGAAGAAAAACATGGAGGTGATGATCTTGATGACCTTGGGACCTCCGAGCTCCCCTCCAATGCTTTTCCGTCTTCGCAGAACGAGGACTAAGACTGCTATGCAGGCTTCGGAACAGTACATCGTCACGCTGAAGGCTAGGCTGTGGAAGAAGATTTTGGTAAGAAAATTGAAAACAGTATATACGGGTAGGAGAATTTGACTAGAAGAACACTAAAACATCTTTTTAGTGACATGAAAACTATTTTAAATGAAATAATATCATTAGTGAAATATGAAATAGTGAGTAGTGAGTTTCATATGATTTTATGTTACACGTCATTATTTCGTTTCATTCTAAAACTGGGTAATAATAGTTACTCACTTTCCAGGGTCAATAGAAAACTTTTCGCCCTTGCTCCAGTGGACAATAGCAGCCAGTGTCCACGCGACTCCAATACCGAGGAACACGTTGACTGCATTGGATCCTGTCACGTTCCCTACTGATGCATCTGCATATTTGTCTTGACACGCAGCCACCTTGCTCGCGAAGGTATCTAGGCAAAAAGGAAAAGTTGATAAGTCGATGAAAAGCAACTTGATAATTAATTATTGGCATTATACATTTTTATTCTTTGTCCCATTCATGCTTCGGCACGAATGGGCCGGCTCAACCGGAGTGATACCACTTCAAAGAAAAAGGCTTCAAAGAAAACCGACGTGAAGCAAGGCTTGTGTTTCGTCGTGTAAGTGAGGTTACCGGATGGCCAATTACCCTCTCCTTTCCCAATCTCCCCAATCCCTGAATATCCAACGATCCTCAAACTCCTAATCCCCAAAAGGCCTTGTAACGCCCCTGGTGTTCCAGGTGTCCATGGGCGACGCCGATTGTTTACTATCAGGTGATCCGTTTGCTCGGTGATTCTTATTTAAGCGTAGCCCTCATGAGTTCCTATCTTCGACATGTTTGTTTTTTTCTGTGTCATGACATATGAGTAACACTAGGATTTTATCCTGTATCATGGATGCGTTTACAACTATCTGTGGATTCCACAAAGAGTTGCTCCGTGCTGGGATCGAACCCATGACACGTTGCAGGACAGCCAGTTGCCCAGCCACCGCACCAACCGTGCAGTCAAGTTTGAGACCAGTGTTCATTGAAAATACTATAGTAATTACATTTCTACCTTTTCTTCGTATAATAATAAGCCTGATCTTAATGTACATACTAATCTAGAACACAAAGATTAATTAATATGACCTAGAACGACAAAAATGTACTACTATATTCCTTTGTTCAGCTGATGGTATTATTTACTGTCAACCTTCTTTCCTCCGCAACGGTTACCAAGAACTCAAGTAAATGGATTCCAACCGCAAGATGAGACTATAATTAATTTTTGGTCATAAATAATACTGCTTCATAATGTCAACTGAATTGTTCATGAAATTGTTGGCACAGCTGCCAAATCTTGGTTGGAGTAGCTGGTTATAGGACTTCGCCTGATAGTCTCCAATAAAGTATGTATGTACTTAAAATACAGCAAAACTTTTATTAGTAAGGATTTTTGTTAAGTACTTTTAGACTTCGTATTATTATAGGGAAATTAATAATACGATCATTTTAATAATACTATAATAAAACTGGATATTGGATCGATTGTGAAGAATTAAAATTAAAAAATTTAAATTTATGTTTTTGATAAGTAATCATATTATTATTTGCTTACATTAAAAATACATGTGTAAAGAAATCCTTACTAATATTATAAATCTGAAAGTGAGTTTGTTTGTTTGTTTGTTTGTTCCACCTTCACGCCGTAACTACTCAACCGATTGCTTTGAAATTTTGCAGACGTAAAGTTAGAAGTCCAGATTAAATAATAGGGTACTTTTTATCCCGGAAAAATGTGATATTCCCGAGGGAAAACAAAAATATTAGTATAGATGGCGCTGTGTGTATTCCTGTAGATGGCGCTTTGTGCCATCTAAAACAATTCAACGAATTACCTACTAATTAGAAATTTCACGCTTTAATCTATAGCGCTTATTTGGTGTTAATCTACACTTATTCAGTGCGCTTTTCGACTCATTTATTTGCTATTTTTTATGTAAAAATACTTAAAAAACACAACGTGGTAACGTTGTGTAGTAGTGTTCCTGACGTCACATCGGGCTCACCACCATACGTGGCCCGCGACCGCTGCGTGCTTATAGCGCTTATTTGGTGTTAATCTACACTTATTCAGTGCGCTTTTCGACTCATTTATTTGCTATTTTTTATGTAAAAATACTTAAAAAACACAACGTGGTAACGTTGTGTAGTAGTTACGCTACTTGGCGATAGATGGCGCTGAGTGTTTATAAAACGGGGTAGCGTTGTGCTTTTAAAGTACTTTTATCGCTTTTAAATTTTGGTTCCTACCATTTTACATTGAATTGTGTATTTTATAGATTTTAGGTTGTTAAAGGTACATGAAATTGGTGTCTATGTAGTAGTTACGCTATTTTTTAAGTATTTTTCGCTTTTAAATTTTGGTTCTAACCATTTTACATTAAATTGCGTATTTTATAGATTTTAGGTTGTTAAAGGTACACAAAATTGGTGACTATGTAGTAGTTACGCTACTTGGCGATAGATGGCACTGAGTGTTTATTATTATCACGGAATATAGAATACAATGGAAGTAGCTTGAAACAATATTTCTGCCAGAACCGGTGTCGCCAAACTAATACATTTATAATTTACTCATACTATAAATCGGAAGTTACGATTGGTTAGAAAAAAAATGGGCGTAAACGAAATGCAAAAAAAAAAATCATACGATATTCAACTTTAAAATCAATGCACTATAAATCAAAATAAAAAAGTATATTTTGGACTACCAAGTACCGCCATTCGTCGCTAGATGACGTTTAACAATGCCATCTAGCGACGAAAAGTGGTACTTGGTTTGAACTTTAAAGTCGTAAGAATAAAGGTGATATTTGAATGGCTTATCACTGGCTCGAATGCACGTCTCTACTCAGATAGAGATGTAGCCTAATTCGATAAAAATAATATCGATAATATGAAAATGTGTTTTAAAAATAATGTGAAAAAAAATATTGACTGCGATAGTGTGACAGTATTAAAGTAATAAAATTAATATGTCGTTGATAACTTTTCAAACGTAACAAAAAAGGGTAAGTATTTATTTGCATGTAAATCAAAAACCATTTTGTTCGTATTTTTTATTAGTTTCTGTTTTCAAAAATCTTTTTTTTTATTTCACATAGGCAATATAAGTAACAAAAACATACATTTTTACAAACTTTATATGGATAATGTGATAAATGAGAGGGATGGCGATAAGGATGACGGTGCTGATCTGCTCCGTGAAGTCTTAATGAAGGTTGCTTCCAATCACGTCGGGGTCACCACTAAAATAATAAAAAAATAATCTAAATAAATGTTACATTACACTTGCATCGATATCAATCGATAAATTCAATATGTGATTTGCCCACATCACTATTTGAGTAGCGTAGAACTGGCGAGAATGTTCTATTGAATGGAATAAATCCATAATAAACTTTATCTTGAAGGCGTAAGGTTGATTTTGACTAACCGTTTTAGTAAATAATATTATTTTAATAACCGTTTTTGTAAATTGAAATAAAATAAGATTTCTACAAGAAAACAATGAAAATTGTACTTACCGATGATACGAAACACCTCCTTTTTTACGATTTTTCGGCTGCTATCATTTTTACACGCCAAAACGGAACAAAACAGCATAGTGTTGAGGAAATATGTATTTGTCACGTGACTAGCAACTCGACGCGATGTTCGAACGAGACTGAACTCGAATTTGCCTCGAGTAAGCAGTGCACTGCAGGATTGTGGCACGCGTACCACGCCTACTTGCTACTTCCATTGTATTCTATATTCCGTGATTATTATATATTCAACGGGGTAACGTTGTTTTTTAAGTATTTTTATCGGTTTTAAATTTTGATTCCTACCATTTTACATTGAATTGGGTATTTTATAGATTTTAGGTTGTTAAAGGTACACGAAATTGGTGTCTATGTGGTAGTTACGCTACTTGGCGATAGATGGCGCTGAGTGTTTATAAAACGGAACAGCGTTGTGTTTTTTAAGTATTCTTCGCTTTTAAATTTTGGTTCCAACCATTTTACATTAAGTTGCGTATTTTATAGATTTTAGATTGTTAAAGGTACACGAAACCATAGTGGCAACAATACTCAACAATTAGCAAATATATTGTACGCTGTTGTTTCAATGCTCGATAGATGGCGTTAGGATCGAGTTAGATGGCGCTATGGTTTCGTTACCGGCGAAAGTATAGGTTCCGTATCAACTATATTTTAGGGTATGCATCTAGCGCTTATCTGATCATTGTTTACGTTGATTGATACAGTAGCTATATTAATTAGGTTAGATTAGTGAAGTGGTTTATTTCTAAGTAGATGTCTAAAGTAGTTAGGTTTTCGACTTTTCGATAATAAAACGTATAATATAGTTTACCACTCAGTTTTGGTTTAGCATTGCAAATATAACCCTTATAGGAAATAGAAGTCTTTGAAATTAAAATGGGAGGAGGTATTTGTGGTAATGCGAAAATAACTTCTGTTCTTTCACGCGGCTGAATCGGTTTTGGTATAAAGGTAGTTTGAGTCCTGGAAAAGCAAGGCTTTACCGCGGCAGAACTTCTCATTCCCACGGAAAAATTTAAAACGCGCGTTATAACCGAATTCCACGCAAGCGAACAGCTGTTTGTTTGTTTGCCTGTCTTAAACGGCAAAACGGAGGTACTTAACGTGATTTTTCAACTGAAGGTAGTTGAAGGGATGGGTAGTCACATAGGCTACGTTTTATCTTTTTGTGACGCGAGCGAAGCCGCGGGTAAAAGCTAGTGTTTTTATAAATATACCTACCTCAACTAAAGAAACTTCGCTATTTTACATAACCATTATAAAGAAAAGGAAGAAGTTAATAAAAGACCACACTATCAAAGGAAGGCTTAGAAAAATCTAGCACAATTTTCTTTGCAAAAGGACTTACTTATTTTTTAATCCTAGTTCGTCCGAAACCTAAGCCGTACGTTCGCTAAGAACATAAGCATCGCTTGGAGCAGTGTTCCTATCTTAAACACGATTTTTTTTTTTTTTTTAAGGGGGGAAAATCATCGAATGACTGCTCCCGCCTGGGTGAGGCGGAAGGGAGTGTCAGACTCTTACTGACTAAAAACCACCCCGTTCCTTCTCCTGCACGTCGAGCCGGAGCCCCGGTTACCCGTTAGGTTCTCCGCGACTCCGAATCGGCATCGGCCCTATTGGGCCCCATCTGTGGTGGTCTGATGGCTCTTTGAGGCGCGCGCGGAACGCGACGCGCCGTACGCTCGGGTCTGTTTCTGGTCGGACGGGGAGCCACCCATGCTCGCCGTCCGCAGGCCCGCGCTTACGGTGGCCGGAGATCGTCCCGCGATCCCCGACGCCCGGTGTGTCCTTCGCGATGGCTGGGTTGCGAGGAGGCAGCGCTTCGCTGCCTCACGCGTCCCGCCTCCTCCTTAGCCAGCATGACTGCTTCGCAAAAGGAGGAGACGGCATCCCAGTCCCCCTCGCTCCGCATCATGGCCTGCACTAGGCCCGGACGCGAGAGGTCTCCATCGCCGATCACTTCCCTGAGGGCACGGCGGTGCTCAGCCCACGCAGGGCATTCCGCAACAGTGTGTTCCACCGTGTCCTCAGGGTGGATCTTAAACACGATAAGATGGTTCTTTAAAGCCGATTTAGTAAACCGCTTAGCTTAAAAATATAGAACGAAATCAAACTATATTTTTGGTTGTAAGAAAGTAGCCTGTTATCCGTCGAAGAGAAAAATATACAACATGTAACGTAATTAACGCACACCCTCAAACACCCCAATTAGAATATTATGTTATAATCATAATACTTACACAACAATTTTAATTTAACTTGTATATGCATCCTTACTGGTCTTGTCATAAGGTTTATTTTTCTTTATTTTGTATTGAATGATAGAACTTGTATGAATACAAATAAAACTGCGATTTTAAAAGTCTTATTGCTTTGGATTACGGTCCATTTCGATTTGTTTTAACAATACAGGGTTAATATGACAATAATTTCCGTAGTTTTAATCATTTTTGGGATAAAAAATTACCTATACTAAAAATTATATAAATCGATTCAGTTAACGATTCTGAACGAACTATTTTCAGGATGTGCTTTATTTAAGTTACATGTTGTATATACTACGTTTACTTTTCAAAAATGATGTTTTAAGTCTTATACAAAAATAATCAAAATAAAAAATTCTCTGCTTAATCAGAAACTTGCACTTAAGACGCCATACTTCAACAGTCGTTTGCAAATGACTGTTTGCAATATGGCACTGTATCGAGATCAGATGAAATATAATTGAATTTTATTTTTAATTTGTTTGTGTTATGGGATAAGCCGGTAAACGAGCAGACGGATCACCTGATGGTAAGCAATTGGCGTCGCCCATGGACACCTGGAACACCAGAGGCGTTACAAGTGCGTTACCGGCCTTCTGGATTAGGAATTTGAGGATTCAGGGATTGGGGAAAGGGCGGGAGGGGGGGGGGGTTATTGGGCCTCCGATAACCTCACTCACACGACGAAACACAACACAACGTTGTTTCACGTCGGTCTTCTGTGAGGCCGTGGTATCACTCCGGTCGAGCCGGCCCATTCATGTCGAAGCATGGCTCTACCACACTTAAATCAAGTTTTGACTATGTATGTATGCAAATAGCTTCATGTTTAATTTTTTTGTTGACGTTCAAAAGTGCCATTCTGGCCTAACTGGAATAAATGATTTTGACTTTGACTTTGTGACTTTTGGTCTTTTTCGGATAAAAATAAGCAATAGCTAGTCTCATAACAACTTACCAGGAATACTCGTTCCCAAGGCAACAAACACAATAGCTGTGACTGAGTCCTTGATGCCCAGGGTGCACCCGAAGTGTGAGGCCACATCGCCAATCACCGCCGTCACTATACCGATGCAAATGATCGAAACCACGAAACAGACGTAACCGCCACCGATATCTGTTGAAGAAGAACGAGTTTTATTTTAAGGAAACTAGAAGTTATTGTAAGTTGTTTTGTTATGGAGATATTACTTTATGAATGTTGGTGAATGCTAAAGTAGAGGTTTTGGGTTTCGTGTTATAATATTATCTCGCTTTGGCTTAGAATTGGGATGATGACAGGGTATGGAAATAAAAAATCTAATTAGTCCGTCAGTTAAGTAATGAAAACATATTAGGTAGACACGTATTTTTTTATTTTTTCATACAATAAAACTATGTTTAGATAAAAAGTTTAGAAGTGGGGTCTAAAACGTCATTTCTACGTATAAAATGTACATAGAAGTGATGTCACACTATATTTCAAATCAATATATCGTCGAAAATATTCGTTTCTGTAAGAAAATGAAAAATACGTGTCTAACGATTTAAAATAATCTGCCAGACGGAAATAAAAATAAAAATTAGACATCTACCTTATTGTCGTTGGTACGACTCCTTATTTTAAAAATCAGTCTCTTTAAAATCGGTTTATGAACCAGAAAGAAATGTATCGATGGATTTAGCTGATAGGTGTAAAATAATCCTTAAATGATATTATTATATATAGGCGGCAACGCACCTCTCACTCCTCTAGTGTTGCAGGTGTCCATGGGCGGCGCTGATCGCTTACCATCAGGTGCTCCGTCTGCTCGTTTGCCTCCTATTCCATAAAAAAAATAGCAACTATCTTACCAGTGGGTGGTATCAAAGCGAAGACAATCTTCCAGAACAATGTGACGATGTGCAGCACGTAGTCGAAACACGAAGGTGGCTCGTCAGGGTCATCAGAACCTAAGAGTAGAGAGCGTTATAAGATCGATGTTAATGGAAATTAAAATCTATTTCTCAAAGAATAGGAATTCTATTTCTTATATTCAAACTAGCGGCCCTGACAGACGTTGTCCTGCATAATAATATAATATAATAATAGGTATAGATAAATAACCTAGACTACGACTGAAGCGCCATCTGCAGGGCTGATTTGTGAATCTAAACCATTCCCAGATCCCCTTGAACACACACAAAAAAATTCATCAAAATCGGTCCAGTCGTTTGAGAGAAGTTCAGTGACATACACACTCACAGAAGAATGATAATTATATATAAAGATTTTACAACTCTTCCTGTAGTTATATTGAAACTTTACTTCACTATATAGTATAAAATAAAGTCGCTATCCGTCGTCTGTCTGTCCCTATGTATGCTTAGATGTTTAAAACTACGCAACGGATTTTGATGGGGTTTTTTTAATAGATAGTGTGATTCTTAAGGAAGATTTATGTGTATTGCATCCGTGCGAGGCCGAAGCTGGGGCGGGTCGCTAGTAGATAATAAAACTGCTCTTATAACTAGAGTTGTCCAAGTGAATTATGTTGTTTTTATATTTGATGCGTCGACATCAGTTTCATATCAAGAAATGGGATCACTATATCGACCCAATTTTAATAATTAAAATAAAAAAAAATTAAAATCGTTTATTAAATACAAAAACTTCCAATAGATGTAGCAGTAGTCTAATTATTATACAATTATGGTAAATTATAAATACTAAAAAATTATAAAAAACAAGTTACATTGAAATAATCAAAGATAAATTTAGGATGAGTACTACCTAATTAGGCATTTTTTTAAATACTGTAGCGTCCCGCCTGAGGTAGGTTTCAGTAAAAACCTGTGTTTCAGGCCATCACTTCACTCAAGACAAGATTAGGATGTCAATGTGAGAACGTACAATCTACACAATTTATATAAAGAAGTTATTTATATACCAAGTATTAGAACCGTTCAAGAAATCACAAGTACTTTAACAACTAAAACTTAAGTTTCCATTTACTTAATCAAGTGTTTAGATAACTATAAATAGTTAGGACTCACCTGAGCTTGCTGTTAACGCTTCTGAAAACTGTTCCTTCCACGAAGACGTGCCTATGATAATTGATGCGTTCGCTCTTTGAACTAATTTGTCTACTGTGTTCTGAAACAAGGCCATTGATATTAATATAGAGGTAAATATTCATACAATTTTGATTGACTGCACGGTTGGGGCCGGCTGCCGCGCAACGTGTAGCGGATCCGATTACAGCACGGAAAAACTCTTGGTGCAATCCACAAATTGTTGTTGTGGGTCTGGGTGTCATGTGTATGTGACATTGTACGTTTGTAAACGCACCCACGACGTAAGAGAAAACCCTAGTATGGGGCAAAATGTTTTTTTTTAAAGAGAGACATAAAGAAAAAGAATTCGCTAAGATTTACTGTTGCTGCTTGTGATGTCGAGGAAAACAAAAACAAAACATACTCATAATATTTCTGGCAGTCATTTCACATAATACATGACTCTGTTTTTAATTATATCACCAAAATGAATAAAGACAGTTCAATAAGTTTTCTTTTACTTCACCCGTCTAAAAATGAAGTCTTTACGAAGTTGATAGTGGTAAAATCACATTAAAATCCAATTCAAAGCTATGAATAGCGTTAAGAATCAAATTAATATATAAACAATAAATAAAATCGAATAAGATGAAATCGGTTCCTGATTGTGCCGATAAGAATTTGGTTCGTAAAATAAAAACATAGCTGCACTTGATGATATACTTACTTTAAACTCCTTGCTCTCTTTAATCCTGAGCTGAGCTCTAGTAATTTCCCCAGCTCTTGGCAACCCCATCATGGCGACCACTGCTTCCTCCTCCGGTAGGGTTGCTAGATGATTGGCTTCATTTCCAGTCGCCACAGGGTTGTCATCATCTGCGGAAGAATACCATGTTAGAGATATGAAGAGAAGTGTGAAGTTCATTACATTTTGCTGGTTTTCTTTCGTATTTTTTGTTGTATAATGGTGATGATTATCTAGCGGCAACACCTCGAACTTACCTTTAAAAATCCTGATATACTAATTATGGTATAATGGTTTCTGTCTCTGGAGCCCTAACCACCGGTAGCTTGGTTAATACTCCCGCTACTGGTCGGCTCCTATTTCTTATATTTCTAAATATATTTTTTTATTTTGTAAGTAGCATTAAAAATGTAATTTGTAGAGAATTTTAAAAGTATAATAAATAATAGTAATGGTATAATGACGAGAACCTCGTGAAAGCTGAGTAAGTTAAACAAATAAAATATCTAGACTTAGCTCACGAGGTTGTCGACATGTGGAGTGTAGATTCGGCCATAGTATAAAGAACACACAGTAGGTTATCTAAGGCCGCCCGCCGAGTTATTAGCCTACTCTTGCGTTGATCCCCAGGGTTGTCACTTTTACTTTTAGTTAATATTTTCGAACAAGCAGCACTTGATCTAAATTTATGAAATGAAAAGCATATTATAATTGAATATTTTATCAATTTATAAATTTAGTAAAAATAAAAAGCTTATAAAAAGATTATTAACTTCTTAAAATAAACTTTAGCTCTATACATAGTATTCAGAAAGTAAATTTGGGAATACATTTATATGGAAAAATGCGACACGGCCACGCTCTTAACAAATCAGATAAACTGTGAAATAAACAATACAATGCCACATTTTCTTATAATATTTAAGTATAGTAGGTAATTACATTTCTGGTTGAGTAGGAACTATGAAGAATGATAAGAGTAAGAATAAGTAAGTAGGTATCTCATCATCAAGTACCTACAAATTATATTATGCTAGAAAAAGTGACTAGCTTACCTTTCCTGTTCAATAGGTAATCTGAACAAAGACAGTTCTGGAATCGATTAATTATTAAGATACCCAAACACACAACAATACGTTCTTCTACGGTTATCAGACATTTTTTATTTCATTTAACAGTGCCGAAAAGTTATGCGCGCGCACCTCGTGCAGTGTTAGCCCTGCCTGGCGCACTGAGAAACGGGTCGAGATTTTGTTAAAGTGTGCGTGCGTCGACGCATAGATACTATGGCGCACACATATAAGCCGCGCGCGGAGCATTTGTATGAAGATAACCTACTTTGTTCTTTATACTATGATTCGGCTACCATTGTACCGATAGTCGTGTCGGCCAATGAGTTAATCCTTAATAGCCTCGACATTCATCTTAGGAGGCTGGCGTTAGATGGATAGATGAAAGGTCTGATACAGAAGGCAGTTCTCCTAGAAACGGCACGTATCATGAGGAGGTTTCTGTATCTGGATCCCTAACCACCTGTAGTTTGGACCGTGCTCCCGCTACTGGTCGGCTCCTAATTTTTATATTTTTAAATTTTATTTTATTTTGTTTAGAAGTATTTGAGAGTGTAATTTGTGAAGAATTTTAAACAGATATTTGGTATGATAATATGACTCACAAACTCGATTAAAAGTAAAATGTGTACTTGCAAAATATATTTAACCTTGAATAGCACACGTTAAAACTGATTATTAAATGCTGATGTTTGTTGTAAAAAAGAGAAAAGTGATACATTCTAAATTAGCGCATATTACCTATTAGTATATGCATCATATCTAAATCGTAAAGGGACATCTAGATGACATTTTCCAACTGTCCAACGATGAATGGTGTACGAAGGGTCCCATGTTCCATTACGGATATTAGAGTGTCCGACTTCCGCAATTAGGAAAATCAGATAAACGTAATGTATGTATGATTAAACCTCCTATTACATGGGACTCATAACATAAATAGTGAAAAGTGGGTGTTACATTGTACAGTGGCATAAAGTGCTGTAATGTTCACCTTTATCTACTCCTTCGGGGATAAAAACCGTGATGTTATGCTTGTGGCATTTGGGTAAAAATATGAGTTTAAAATTCCCATTCCTTGTTCATATAAAAATTTTTAAAACTGAACACGCCTATGCACTTTTACGTAATCCTACAAAGGATATAAATCCCAAATTCTCCTAAACTATCCTTACTAATAATATTATAAATCGGAAAGTGAGTTTGTTTGTTTGTTTGTTTGTTTGTTCCACTTTCGCGCCGTAACTACTAAACCGATTGCTTTGAATTTTTGCAGACGTGAAGTTAAAAGTCTAGATTAAATAATAGGGTACTTTTTATCCCGGAAAAATTTGATATTCTCGAGGGAAAACGAAATTATTGGTATAGATGGCGCTGTGTGTATAGGTATATGTCACATGGGCTACTTTTTATCCTTTTGTGACGCGAGCGAAGCCGCGGGTAAAAGCTAGTTTAATAATAAACCCAAGTTAACTTGACGTTTCTGTTTCGAAACTCATCTCATTGTGGGTTATATCTTCAGAGCAGTTCAGTTTTTATACGCACTTACACTGGAAGGGCAATACGTGACTTGATTCGTAAGTACATGCGAACGTTCATCCCCTATCTGTTTTGGGGGCTGCCAGGAATTTTAAACAAGACGTTTACTAAGTTAGATGTTATAGGGAGCAAGAGAGGTAATTTGCATATACAGGCATGAAGTAGGTCTTGGATTAGATTTCCGGATCGGAACATAATATATACATTGTCTATTTGCTTGAGAAAAATATTATTTGAAGACCAAAATGTAATGTATAGATAGTCTATTGTTATATAAAATAGGGTTTTTTTTTATTTTTTGTGGGAAAATTATCGAATGACTGCTCCCGCCTGGGTGAGGCGGGAGGGAGTGTCAGACTCTTACTGACTAAAAACCACCCCATTCCTTCTTCTGCACGTCGAGCCAGAGATACAAAATAGGGTAGATGGCGAATTTTTATTTTATGTCCATTGTCCATCTGGTAGAATATTTTAAAACGTTACACAAGTATTTTTTATGTTCTTACAGAAACGAATACTTTCGACGATGTACGTCACTTCTATGTACATTTTATACGTAGAAATGACGTTTTAGCCCCCACTCCTAAACTTTGATTCGTTATATCTAAGTATTATTTTATAATACAACAAAATAAATACGTGTCAAATATTTTATCATTACCTAACTGACGGATTAATTAGATTTTTAATTTTCATACCCTGTCATCATCCCTATTGTAAGCTTTTTGATAAAACCAAATTAAGCCATAACTTGATCGGTTCAGTAGCTAACCTATGGTAATACTCCTTTTTTTTTAATTTTTATTTTCTATTTTCATACCTCAATACCGAACTGTACATCTGGTGCAAATTTAAGTGTGGGAGAGCCATGCTTCGGCACGAATGGGCTGCCTCGACCGGAATGATACCACGGCCTCACAGAAAACGCACGTGAAACAAGGCGTGCATTGTGTTTCGTCGTATGAATGAGGTTACCGGAGGCCTAATTACTACACCCCCTTCCTCAATCTCTGAATCCCTAACAATTCTCAAATTTCTAATCCCAAAAGGCCGGTAACGCACTTGTAACGCCTCTGGTGTTCCAAATGTCCATGGGCGACGTAGATTGATTATCATCAGGTGATTCGTCTGCTCGTTTGCCGGCTTGTCCCGTAAAAAGGCTTTTCACAAATTTAACTATTCTTAACTTATGTTAAAGTATTGTAGATACTCAATAAGGGTCTTAAGGTATGTACCTTAACAACAGCACAAACCTCAATTTTTGCCAAATATCATGTTTCTACAATAATATTATACACACAACATACACTCAACATCACGACTTTTATTCCCGAAGCGGTAGGCAGTGGTGCACACAGAAGTAACACCCACTTTTCACTATTTATGTTATAAGTCCCATGTAATAGGGAGTGAGCCTATTGCCATATACCGGGCACATTTCCAGACTCCGTGCTACTACTGAGATTTTTTTTAAAAACCCAGTAATACTTTGCCTGACCCGGGAATCGAACCCGAGACCCCTTGCCCGGCAGTCGCACTTGCGACCACTTGGCCATCGAGGCAGTCATAACCATGAGGCAATAATATTACTTAACATTATTATCAATTCAATACAGAAGCCGCACGAAATTGAAATAAAACCTTTAATATTTTGTCCCAAATAAATTGTACGGGACCTGAATTCAGTATGATGGACAGACAGATGTATGACTGTGGTACTGATTAGGTATTCCACTGACTCCCTCATGAAGCTGAGGGAATAGTGAACAGTTTATGCCATATGCGCTTATGTCATTTTGAATATACGACCTCTTTGGATTTCCCAAAGGGACAGGTAAAGGTGGAGTTTGCTGTAGCAATTTTTTTTAGGATTCTTTTATTTATTTTAAACATACTATTTTACATTTACGATAAGATAACCCCTATTACATGGGTCTCATAACATAAATAGTGAAAAGTAGGTGTTACATTGCATTAAGTGCCGTAATGTGCACCTTTGTTTACCTGTTTTGGGGTACATGCAAACAACGTATAATAAATGTACACTTCTCTATTAAGAGGATCAAAGGACGACGAGGTTGGCGCGGTGGCTCGGCAACCGGCTGCCGCGCAACGTGTAACGGGTTCGACTCCCTCACAGAGCAACTCTTTCTGTGATCCACAAATTGTTGTTTCGGGTCTGGGTGTCATGTGTATGTGAACTTATATGTTTGTAAACGCACCCTCGACACAGGAGAAAATCCTAGAGTACAAAAAAACGTTGCCCCGTTTTTTTTTAAAAATAATGAAAAAAATAAAAAGGTGTAAAATCAAGTAAAACCTTATCCATACTTATTTAGCTTTAATTACATTTGAAAGTACTCTCATTCCTAAGTCGTAACACGTATACAGAAGTAATTACAATGTAAAAGAACGCAATTAAACTGTTAATTACATTATCAAATCTTTACGATCAAATGAAAATGTAATTTATTTTGATTACAGTACGTACTAAATTCAATTATTTTACTTCCAAGGAGATG